ACTACCGAGCAGGGGCAAAAATACGATAAGTAGATACATAATTTCGAGTTGGATCAGACAACCAAAAATCAGACAATGACAGAGCGGCCCGTGATTGAGTTCTTTTTGGATATCGACGCCCGAAGAAGGCTGGCTCGCAATAGTGTGAGTCACAAGGTTCATTTTGAGCCCCAACGACAAAGGAACCTACGGGCGGGGCATTTTCGGGGATTAGCCTCCTTCCCCAATTCGACTCTTTTCTCTTTCATTTTCATCCCTTATCCCATTCTTCTCTTTAAGAACTGCGCCTCAACCCCTATTTATTTGCGTAAGTAAGGCTGGAAAGAAAGAGTTGCTTTATGAAACGGAAACCTTTTTTCTTCGATCGGAATACGGATGAGATCAAAAAGGCCATCATTGGGGCAAACGATGCAATAGCTTCGGTTAGAGCAAAGCCCAAAATGGCATAACCAAATAATTGTTTAGCTAATGATGGATTTCTAGCTACGGAATGAATCGAGGAACTAAGGACGTTTCCAATACCGATAGCAGCTCCCGCTAAAGCAATTGTAGCAGCTCCGGCACCTATTGATTTTGCACCTTCTAACATTTCGAGTTGAGAATTCTCGTCACGCTTTTGAATTCACGATTTGATGTTCTAGATTCCTCGTCGATTCTTCCCCTCGTTCCTTTTCTATTGGGCATCTCACTTGGAATGAAAAGCATGATTTTAGATCTTCTAATAAGGTACACTGAACACCAACCCAATCTCTTTTAATCAAATCCGTTATTGCAAGAAAACTACAAACAACCTACGTGAACGGACGCTTTCAGTTAGTTATACTTTTTGAACTATATAAACAAATATAACAAGCGTGCAATATTGAGAAATGTTTCTCAACCAAACTCTGGATTTGCGAAGGCCAGAGGAGAATGCGTTCTTGAGTCAACAAGCTTACCTTACCTTATATTAGAGAAAGGTTTGGAACCCTTGAAACAGCCCCTGCTGAAGGGGAAATTCAAGCTCTCTTTTCTGATTTCCTTTAGGCGTACACCTAGGAGTCACCTCGCAGAAGATTGTGAAGGCTCTTCACACCTTACATGTCAAAATCTGCCCGTCTCATAGACTTGATCTATCATCGGATATACGCTATATCTTTTCGTTTATTATGAATTGCCTCCTGCCTCTAGTGGACTCTGTTATGAGGAGTGTGAATTTGGCCTGTTTGATCGAGTTGAAAGCCATATATATTACATATACAAAACCTACTTGGGCTGGAAGCTTTAGGTTATCCATGGATCAGTCGAAGCCAATTCTGCCACTACTACCCCTTCAAAGCTGCCAGCAGCTAAATGCAGTCAAACTGTGGAGCTTATCCTTGAATGTGGGGCCGGTCCCCTTATACTATGACTCGATTTAATCAATGTTATTGCTAACTTGTAGAGTTTAAACTCTTTGGTGGATCTCATGACCGCACCTGGATCATGAGACAGAGCATTCTCACTAGTAAATAGTTATTCCATGTAAAGGTTGAATTCATTATAGGTGGTTAGGCTTCAAGAGTCTGCTGGTCTGCTTCACATAAATCTACCGCTCTCTACTTGCTCCTTTTCACCCCAGGAGTGAAAGCCTATCAAAAAAGAGCTATCTTATTCGTGAGATCTCGAAAAAGCTTGGCAACATGAGACAACTACTACTAGTCCTTTTACTAGTCCGTACGAGTGCGCTCGCTAATGTTTAATATCTCCTACTCTGTAAATAGAACCTTATTAAAGAACTTTGACTTAAAAGGATTCCTGTAGAGAAGAAAGTGAGTGACTCTGGCACTTGTTCAACATTCCCTTTCCTTGTGAGCTCTTTCTCTTATTAATAGCCTTCCCCTAGCTCTCCTCTGGGAACTTTCGCATCATGACGTTCCCTTCAATCCCCTTCCTCCGTAGAATAATCTCTTTATGAAGCATCGCCGGCAGGCGTCTATCCTTTCAGTCGTTCGCTAAGCTTCCTTTTGTGAGCACGCTCCTTATTAGTCGCCCTTTCACATCACAAGGACCAACTCTCCCTTCTGTTTCATAGGGCTAAAAGGTAGACCTTAAAGGCGCTTTTCGGGTATAAAAGTCAAGGAAAGTAGGTCGTACAGGGTGGTAATGGTTGACCGTTAGGGAGATCTGTCCCCGGAGATCTTGATGCTAGCCTCATCTCTCTCATTCTTGGTCGCGAAGGGGTGTATATAGTATACAGACCGGGGTGCGGTCAGCGTATAGGAGCTCCGATAGCCAAACCAGTCGGCTAGCTTTCCATTCAATAAGCCTAACCGAAAATCTTTAGACCTACATAAGGGCGACCCCTTCTAGATGAAGGAAAGTAAGGGCGGTCCGTTGAATCAGCCTATTGATCAATGCGAAATTCCTCACTTTAGAGCTTGCTCGTCGAACCCCAAAACCCTAATATGAATTGCGCCCACCCGCTGTGCTTCTGATTCAAGTCCTCCCACTGAAAGAAAGGGAGGTGAATGTGCGGATGCCAGAGTTGTGAGTCGATCAGTAAGATCTAAGCCAAAGTGTCTATCATCTATCTACGCGAATCTATCATTGTCGCATTGGTCACATTCATCACATCTATTTTCATCACAACGGGAATGCCTTTTTGTAGCTGTCTCCTTCAAAGATAGATAGAAGTTGAGAAGTGGAACCATGATCCACTGGTCTGGTACTGGGACCTCACAACCGGTCCCTTCCTTTTGGGGTTCTCTGACCGAACCTCTCTAAGCGACCCCTGCGGGTGGAGCCCGTTCTCCGGCTCTAATCCTGGGATCTTCGATCGAGAAGTACCCGAAATCAAACAATAGATTCCGTAGCGAAGGATGAAAGAGCGAAAGAAAGCTCGACCAGGTCGAATTGTTTAACCACAGAGGAAGAATCCCGTTTAGTTGTAAGTTCCCGCGCCGCGCTAACTAGCGCTACACAAGGCTTCTTTTTGATATTGGTACGTGCGGCTTTCTTCGCATGATCGGTCGATTTCCTTGCCATTGTGATGGGGTCCGTACTTCAAAGGCTAGGCTAGCCGCTAAGGCCGGGACCGGGACCTGCTCCTTATACATTGATCTCTTTGGTGGTGGTGCTTACAGACCACCTCTCGTCCGAACGTTCAAGTTCCTTACACACCCCTACTTATTCTTGAGGAGCCTCTTGTTATGAAGCGTCAGCCTCTCCAACTCGAACAGATCCCCCCTCCTCCCTCCTGTTGATAGAGTGCTCGGAAAGAGCTCATTAAGCTGAATGACTTGTAGAGCCTCGAGACTACAGCAGAGGATGGCGCGATACCCAAAAGATGCCCTTAACGAAAGAAGGAAAAAACAAATGATTCAAGCTGTGATAGGTAGCACCCCGGGATAGGGATTGAAAGTCGTTGTTAAGACAAAGGAATTGCCAGAGATTAGGGTTAACTTGAGTCAGATTATGACAACCTTTTCTGACTTATTTGTTTTGTTTGAAAGTTCCCTCTATGAATGTGTTTGATGCACAAAATGTCTTTTATTGGAATGAAGTCATTTCTCGGTGACCTACTCAGTAGGCATGGGTCTGTAATCCATCTAACGAAACCTCCTATTCTAATGATTCCCGGAGTATAGTTATAATGGTAGGGGGAGTTTATACCTTCTTTGGTGGCCCTTGGATGCACCACACCTTGGATTTTGGGAACAAAGTAGTTGTTGAAGCCTGTGGTATTTGGCAACCAGACTCCTCTTCCTTTCTAGATCAACTACACTTTTTGACCCTTAATTCCTTGAGATTAGGAGAGTGAGTCCTATTGCTGTAATGTAAATAGCCCCGGCGAGTCTGGCTTTCCCATTAGTAGCTTGGTCCATCTTTTCCAGCGAGGAGTTCTCTCGAATCAAGGGTACTACTCATTCCCGTTCTGAGGTGTAAATCAAAAGCTTCACGGGCGAACCAACAGCTCATGAGAGAGTCTTTTTTCATTCGAATTCATCATATAGGTAGCAGAAAACTCAGTGGACTCCTTTCTTCGTTCGTGGGTTGGTCAGCCAAAGAGCCCTAGCTTGGAAGGGAGCCCGGTTGGAACCGAGGAGAATGCGTTTTTTTCCATCTTGCGCCAATGAAGTCAGTCCGTTCCAGACCTTGGCAGGTGTGGATAATGGAATATAGAATAGTATTCCCCGCATCAGTAAGATAGGTCAAGCAAGGCCTTTTCTTTCGTTTATAGAAAGCCGCTGAAGCTTGAGTGATGTCTTTGATGGGATGAAGAGAGAGATATATAGTTCGTGTGCAGTGAGGGATCTTTATAGGCAGCCAGTCTTTACTTAACTCGGCCCAAGCAACGCTCCTTCACTCCCATGCCTTTCTTGGTCGGACCAACCCAACCGGTGATTTCCGACAAGTCTTGACTTCATTTTTCGAGCAAGAAGCGGAACTACAAGAAAGCTTTCTTTATCTTTATGGATAACCAATTCATTTTCAAATATAGTTGGGGGACTTTACCCAAGAAATGGGTCAAAAAAATGGAAAGATCGGAACATGGGAATAGATCTGATACCAATACGGACTACCCATTTCCATTGTTGTGCTTTCTGAAATTGCATACCTATACAAGGGTTCAAGTTTCGATCGAGATTTGCGGAGTTGATTATCCTTCTCGAAAACGCAGATTTGAAGTGGTCTATAATTTACTGAGTACTCGGTATAACTCACGCATTCGTGTACAAACCAGTGCAGACGAAGTCACACGAATATCTCCGGTAGTCAGTCCATTTCCATCAGCCGGCCGGTGGGAGCGAGAAGTTTGGGATATGTTTGGTGTTTCTTCCATCAATCATCCGGATCTACGCCGTATATCAACAGATTATGGTTTCGAGGGTCATCCATTACGAAAGGACCTTCCTCTGAGCGGATATGTGGAAGTACGCTATGATGATCCAGAGAAACGTGTGGTTTCTGAACCCATTGAGATGACCCAAGAATTTCGCTATTTCGATTCTGCTAGCCCTTGGGAACAGCGTAGCGACGGATAATTCAGAATCAGAATAGGTCCAGTCCAGAGAGGACAAATCAATAGGAAATGCTATTTGCTTCGTAAGAAAATCTGAATGCACTTCTATGAAAAAAAAGAGTTTCACGGGAATTGTCTTGATCGTCGGATATCATTGAGAAAGAAATATACAGAAGTGTTTCTCGAATGATTTCCCAGTATGGAATGAGTAAAGAATCAAGCGAAAAGTCTCGATCTATACGAACGGCACTGGTTTTTTGTGTTTCTTTCGGTTTCATGGATAGCATCAAATCCCGACTTTCTACTATGAAACGTAAAGCGCTTGACTAATGGGCAAAGGAGCCTGAAAAACGTAATAGGCTGCTACTCTAGGCTCGCTTCTTCAAGCTCCGCCCCTTATTGAAAAAGCGCTAACAAGCAAGAAAGAATAAGGCGCCAATCTCATATTAGTAAAGCAACCTTTCGCGCTAGGCGCTCACTTTTTTTGTCCGGGTTACAGCGCTGGCGGCAGGGCTTGTTGCTTAACCGGATACACGGAATTAGGATCTCTGTCGCATGCAAATCTTTCTATCGGGAAAGCCTCGCTTATTCAAAGGGCTGATTATTTAGAACCCTTATTGCTTATAAGTAAGTAAGCGTTAGTAGGAGCGGCGGGATGATGATGAGTATCTAAATCAATAAAGACCAAAAAGCAGAAATGGAAAGAGTACAACAAACAGGAGAAAGAAGATCTCTTATTACTATATATTCATGCATATTACTAAAGATGACTTGTCGGTAGGAAAGAACTATGTGGAAAACAGGGCAGGGATTCTCTACAATGACACTCACGACCAATTGAAAGGGATGTAGTGCAGCTTGGACTTTGTTTTGGGTCCAAAATCTCATGGGTTCCAATCCTGTTCTTCTCCTCTGGGCAGTCACGAGGGATCCATTGAGATCGATTCAAATTGGACATACATAATCTTTCATTTTATGAGACTATATGCATGCAAGATGTATTGGGAAAAAGCATCCTTCTTTACAGTCGTATCTACTGTGATAAGAAAACGCTCTTAGTTCAGTTCGGTAGAACGCGGGTCTCCAAAACCCGATGTCGTAGGTTCAAATCCTACAGAGCGTGATTCCTTTCTTGTTAGGTCTATCTAATTACAATGAAATAACTTCACTAAATGGAACAGCAACCTTAATTTGACCTTCTGCGGATTCAAAAAAAGAGATGTTAATGAATCAAAGGTCCAACTCGATTCTAAGACTAGTCATTTTGAATTGTGGGAGTATGAGAAATCTCTTTGCGGGAGACAGAAGGAATATGAAGCGGATTTATTTGACAATGAGAACTAGACACGCGTCCCGTATCCCCATGTGGATATAACTCACTTTCGACACTTCTTTCTGGTAAAACTGCTTCTTCCTATGGTTCGTCTTGTTCATGCAAAGTGTATTGACGAGTGCCTTCAGAAAGAGACTTCGCGAAGCGGGGTGGTCCGGCTCTCAGAACTAGCTAGAATTGGGGGGTTTCATGAAGAAATGAAAAAATGGATCACTCACTGCACACAAACTATAAGTCTATTAGCCGCTGGTGCACCAGAGGCAGAAAGCCTTGCACGCACGTATGTTAGCGATTCCATCAGTCAGATTCACAGTTTTCATTGTGACTCCAATGCCCCACACCAGAAGGTATTTGGACGTCATTCTTATTGATGCAGTAGGCTAAGGCTAAGCAAGAATTGACTTACTGTAGAAGTGGTGGTGAGCCTTTATAAGTTCGAGTCAAGCTAGTGGATTGAGAAAGCAACCGTCTAACAACGAAAAAGAGGGTAAGCGCTGACCCAGCCTATAAGAGGTGCGCGAGGTGTGATTGGCGAGCTGTAATTCCAGGGGTAGAGGATTAGGCGGGTCCCTTAATCAAGGAAAGCGCACTTCACGAGCTATCTTATCTAGCTACTGTCAGGTTAGCTCCGGTGAGCTATGAGACTTAGAAACTTTAACCGGCCTTTCTTATATTGTATCTATGGAAGGATCCTAACCCCACCCATCAATGCACAGGGTATTCTTCAGGAACTACCTAACGGTGCTTTCCCCCTCCTCTCATCATAGGAATAGAATATGGAAATGTGGTAAGCCTTGCCTTGCCGTCTAAAGTGGTCCAACTTAGCCTCCGTGACCTTATTCGATCAATTTCTAACAGACCCGATTCAACAAAAAGGAAGCTTTCTCTTTAGAAGAGGTCAACCAGGATGAGAAGACGGCTATCGAGGAAATGCTGATTAGCTAAAAAAGTCTGTTTAGTTTACGGTCTGAACTTCGGAAGTGAAGGACTGGGGTCAACTTGAAATAGATCCTGACTGTAACTACTGTGTCAGAAGATGTTTTTTCACCTTTCCATTCCCCCTATGGTTATCGAACCAACTGCCCAAGAATCTCATAAAGTGGAGGTCCCTTACTATAAGATGCATTTGACTGAGCGAAGTAGCTTTGAAGTGACCAAGAATGTGAAATTTTGATTCGATGAA